CTCAGCTCACAGTTAAAGCCCAGCCAGTTAACCTTGCTATCTCTCCCCTACACAAAATCGCTTGTCCCGGCTCCCTTCCCCCACCCCTCCCACACCACTGCTTTCACTTGTTCACTTGCAGTTCATCCCCTTCCCTCTCTGCTCTAACGGTATACTCTTTAGTCTGCTTTATCGTGTCTCACGGTGTTGTCGCTTGCAGATTTACTTATACTTTTTCTTCAACCCTGAAGATGGGGGTGATACGTTCCTCCGAAACGTCGGTTAACACCACATATACACGGTGCCAAATCCCAGAAGACTGCATTCTTCATAGTCACCGCCGTGAAAGCCTCAAATCTTACTTACTGTTAAATGTTAAGCAATGTAGCTCTTTATCACATACTTTTGGTCCTAATTAATTCTTTCTGTCCTATTTAAGCATGAAAATGGCACCCCTAACTAAAATATCTAAGATGTATCTAATTATCCCCTCTCCCAACACAGTATTTTTATTTTATTGTTATATTCTTAAGGTTTCTGTATGAAAACTAATGGTCATAGTTTGGAGCTAAGCTTCACTGTAGAAGGTTGACTGTAGAGAATGTCTTTCAGAATGTTCACTACATCATGGGCACAGCCCCAGCTCAGTGTGACCCCACTTCCTCCATGACCATAGTTGTGGATTACCTGCACAATAAGATGGGAATTATACAGTTCACCTGTATTCTGTGCTTCATAATAACTGTGTAAGTACATCCTGTAGGACACGTGCTTTAAAATGCTGAGAAAGTAAAATCATATTTTCAGAGTAGTTTTGGAGGGTATGTTAAAAATAATATTTTCAGGCTGCATTCCTTGCTTTATAGGGAAAGATAGCCTGCATGTTCATTGATTTTCATGAAATTTGGTATGAACATCATGTCACTAGAGAACACTCCATTTTCAGAAATTTTACTTTCCTATCATCAGTAATACTGACATGGTAATATGCTATTTTGTTAAGGTGAAATTAATGCTACTTAATGTAACATCTGTGTGGTGATAGATTTTCAAACAAGAACATGGAGGAAATTAGCATGCTTACTTTCCTTAAAATGCTTCAGTCTGTATGATGAAGCTGGTAAGAAATGTAAATTTATAATTAAGGTAAAAAAAGTTGTCCCTGTGCTTAACTAATTAAGCACTATGCTATGAAGGCATATGGGGAAATGAATGTATAGATCAACATTTTCTTGACCTTGGCACTAGCTGGAGGTGAGCGGTCAGCTTCACATGCCGGCTGCTTTACCCCTGGGGAAAGAGCCCCCTGGTACCCATTGGATCCGGTTGGGTGGACCCCACAGCCGATTTGGAGAAGAGAAAATTCTTGACCCTATTGGGACTTGAACTCCGACCCCTCAGTTGTCCAGCCTGTAGCCAGTCGCTATACCGAATACATTACCCTGGCTCAAATTTATACTTATAAAACTTTAAAATCTATTTCCGTGCCTAATTTCCATGATTATAGATTCCAACAGTGTTAACTTTTGCCAGGCAATTTCACAAGCTTAGCTTACTGTTATAATTCATTTTCTGTTTGCTTCATGGGAAATGCAGTTGAACTCAATGACCCTTAATTGCCAACATGATATTACAATGATAAGTGATGTAAGCAGAAAGAAGGCTGTGTGTCTTTCTGTGTTTTACTTTATAAGCAGCTCTTGAAGGTAGGACCAAACCTGAATATGCTTATTTCCTCTTTGTTCTTGTTTGTCTTTATACCAAGACTAAATGTACTCGTGTATACATTCTTTGACTATATGAATTTTCATGCCTGTTCAGTTAATGTAAATTGAAGAAGTATTAAACCTATTTTTGAGCAAAATCAAGAGAATAATGAGAAGATTATTAAAACATGAAATATTGACAAAAGGATTCTAATCTTGGCAGTCTGTCAGTATTTGAAATGTGTGGAGATGGAAGGGTTGTCATGATATGGTATGATATGGTAGTATGGTTCGTCCACTATGGGAGTCATTTCTGTGTGTACTGTGTCTGTGATGTGTCCTTCCTTTTTGGCTGCGAGCATTGTAATCGCTTGCAGCCAAAAAGGAAAGACACCACACAGAAACGACTCCCATAGTGGACGAACCATACTATACGCGAGTTTAAATTTGTAAGGAAAGAGGTAAATCAGATCAGTATAACAATTTCCTGTGTCTCAGCATGGCATATATTTTATACATACCTCTAATTTATTTCCATATTTGTCTCTTACATGGTCCCTCTCAAGACGCACTTCAGATCGGCCAGGGCGAAGTCCAGCCCATTCATTCACAATCACAGCTTCCTTAAGCAAAAACAGCACGAGTATACAGCATATTTTAGACTCATTACTGTTGAAAGAGAATACTGTTTGACTTACATTTTGTATTTCAATCATTCTTAGCTTTTATAGGTTCTATCACCATTCTTGGAACATATTTTAATAGGACAACTATATGTTTGGAATGCTTTTATCATTCTGTTAAAAAAGCTTTTTAAGTTCATACACAAATTTTGTTCTAATTTCATTGGTATTTCAAGATGGAAAGTAGATAAATGAAAAATACATTTAATGAGATGAAATTTCTGAATAGGAGTTTTCTGTGCTGAAAAATACATTTTTGAAATACAGTAATTCTGTGTTTGTCATGCAAGACAGCCATAATTCCCAGTGTGTTTATGTTGTCATGTAACTACTGTAATGCAAATTATTAGACACTAAATGAAGTAAGAGAATCTTAAGATTTTAACTGAATTTCAGGTTAGGTTATACATATAATGTTAAGCCATATCAATTCCTTGACAGAGTATCCATCATCTTCACTGAATTTAACTCCTGGCGCCGCTTATATGAGAAATACGTTGTGTTGCGGTTTTCTTCTTTGGATTTATGTAGGCTGCTCAGTCCATTTTTACCTATTTTTAATTCATTTTGGTATTCAGTATCTATAAAATAATGTTCTCTTCCTTAATTTGAATAAAACATTGTCAAAGAAATTAAAACACAAAGCTGATTTAAACAGTTCTGTTTAGAATTATCCTAATGGATTGCTTCTGCATAATGTGATCATGAAGTCCTTACTTTGAGTCCTGGCATAAGTTTGCAGCACCCGTTATGTATGGACATGGAATCAGCCGGATCTGGTTTTGTGTTCCAGTTTCCTTCTTGTTGTGTTCCACCGAGAATAACATTGTCTTTACTGGCATAACAGAGCAGAACACACAATGTATATATAAAATGTATGTATGTATGTATGTGTGTGTAATTGTTAAAGAATGCCAAACTGTTGATTCTGTCATATCTTATCTAACAGTATTTTGAAAATGTAATATCTAGGTAGCACGCAGGAACATACATGTTTTAAAGTTATAATGCAAGGATCAGAGTAGCCATCATTTATGCATATTGGTTTTATATCAACTTATGTCTACATAAAACGTCCTTTCTTTTTCTCTTTCCTTCTTTCTATCTTCCCCACCCTAATGAATAGATGTTTGACATTGGCCTGCATTGTCCAAAATTGCACGAATCTAGGACACTTACTTTGGTATAATGTAGTTGCCTTCATTCCCCTCCAAAGCTGCATGGAACACCCATGGTGCATTCACCTAAATGTGTGTGAAGAGATCTGTTAGTCATTCTTTCATACATTATTTATTCTTTTCCAGCTTGGTAAGTGCATGTAGGTAGTGAGGTTAAAATGTTGCAGAATGCTGTGAGGCAGGAGGAATGGCATGGCAGGAGGGTAATTTCATGAAATAGACAGCAAACAATGTAGCACAACATTGATACCAATTGCGATTACTTATGTCACTTTGATAGTTGCTTACATAAGGATACAGCTGAGTCATCATTGCAGAAAAGAATTCTGGGCACTGTGGATGAGATTGCTTTGTTTCTGGGGAAATGTTAGAAACTATCAGCGAAAGAAATTCTTGGGGTGGGATTAAATACCATAATAGCTTCAGTGCTGTTTGTGGACTTTCAGTTAGTTGTCATAAAGTGCATAAAATGGAGCAGTTAAGAGTAGTGGTCATAGAATATTTCAGAGGCATATTTGAATCAAACTTTCTAGTGTTGACATATATGTTTATGTCCTTCTGAAACTGATTTGGTTACAAACAAAGCATTTTCCTACCATTAATAAAGCAAGTTTCCCTGAGAACTCACGTTGCCTGTTTTCCTCTAAATCTCTATGAATCTGTATGAAAAGACTAGAGGAAATTTAATATTAGTAATAATGTGTTTGAGAACAGGGTGCTGAGGAGAATATTTGGATTGAAGACAGATGAAATGATAGGATATTGGAGAAAACTATATAATGAGGAACTTCATAACTTGTACTCTTCACCAAGTATAATTAGAATGATAAAGTCAAGGAGGATGGGATGTGCAGGGCATGTAGCACAAATGGGGGACAAGAGGAATGTGTAGAGGATATTGATGGGAAAGCAAGAAGGAAAGAGACCACTAGGAAGATGAAGATGTAGTTGGGTGGTAAAGGTAAAAGATAAAGTTGTCCCTGTGCTTGACACATTTTCTTGACCTCATCACTAGCTGGAGGTGAGTGGTCAGCTTCATGACCCTGCCGCTTTACATCCCCGGGGAAGGAGCCCCCGGTACCCATTGGATAAGCTGGGTGGGCCCCAGAGCAGGTCTGGATTATATGGAGAAGAGAAGATTCTTACCCTACCATGACTCAAACTCTGACCCCTTGGTCGTCCAGTCTGTAGGCAGCCACTACACTGACTGTGCTACCCTGTCTCAATGTAGGTGGCTGGACAATGTTATAATGGATCTCACAGAGAGAGAGAGAGGGTATGATGGTGTGGACTGGATCGATCTGGCTCAGGATAGGGATCAGTGGAGGCGTCTTCTGAAGACAATAATGAACCTTTGGGTTCCATAAAATGCTGGGAAGTTCTTGAGTAGCTGCACAATCGGTGGCTTCTTAAGAAGGGCTCAGCTCCATGAGTGAGTGAATACAAGTTACTTTATTTCTGTGCACAATTTATATTGATGATTTTTAGTGTGTAAAACTTGTCAGACATAACCTCAGAGATTGATACCATCACCACATTTGTAATTGTAGCATATAAGAAAGAGTTTCACATGAAGTGTATAGATATATTTGTGACCCATGTTTGTACAAAATTTCTTGTGGCTAGCTACAGTCATTCATTAATTACCGATAATAAGTCGGATACTACATACCAGTTTTGCAAACATTCGTGTTATTGCCACATATCCTGGTAACGCGACAAGTAGTTAATGGATTCTCTGAATTGATGAGTCAATTTGTTGGACAGTCACCAGGCAGATCTATTATAAATACTTATAATGCTTCGAAAGGTTACTGGAACTATAACACATAAAGTCTTCAACATTCTCACTCTTAGATGCTCCTTGTACAAAATCGATGGACAGGTCTATACCCAATCTTCTCTCTTCTGTCTTGTTCTTGGACTGGGCTTCTACTACTCAGTAGGACTCTCCAGTATCTAATCTCTTCTCTTCTGTATTCTGGTCATTTATCTTGACCTAAGCTGGCTTCACACCAGCTGCATATGAAACACTCCATGCAACAGTAGACTTTTTCGGTTTTGCAGTTGTCACTGAAATGTGTCTTTCATTGCTGTGTGAACATTCTTTACCTATCTACTGCAATGGAAATGCTATTGTATGCATTGCCTAGGAATTTACGTGTCATAACTTCAGAAACGTGTTTCAGCAAGCTGTTACCTAGCAATGGATTTACATGTCACATTATGTTACATTCTGTAGCACCAGTGTGATACAAGGCATCAAGATAAAATGCTTCACAACATATGAAACAATGAAATTGTAATACCAGCTATAAGAATAGCTCCATGAAGAAAACATTAAAAACACCACTTACAGCTAGAATAACACCACAACATCAGTCATGAGAAAAGCTCCATGAAGACACTTATACATGTCACATATAATTTGGTGAAATTCTCAAAGCCAGCCCTGAAATGATGACACACCCCAGACTTGAAACTGACAGCACAACCTTTTCTTACTACTGCTGCAACAGCAACATACAGTCTGTTTTTTCATATTTTAGTATACATTATTTTAATCTAAAGCCTATTTGTATACTCAAATAATAATCACATAGATCTATGAAGTATCATACAGTCATAATCATTAGGATAACAGTAATTTTATACACAAACATGCATCATAATTGTGCCTTTTATCTGTATTTTACCCTACCCTTACCTTATACTTTCATTGTCTATGTTATAATTATCTGACAAGAAAATCATGCCCCCTCCCATTAGAGAATCAGAAATGTGAAAGATCAATGTAGATAACTGGATCAATATTAAGTAATGTGGAAAATAGAGCAGTAACAATTCACTAATTAACATTCGCAACATTGTAACACTTGAAGGTGACAAAAGAAAAGGTCAAATAATGTAAGGGGGTTTTAAAATAGAAACATTAGACACTGATATGTTGTGTTGATGTCTTGAAAGTTTAAGTACAATTTCACTGTTAGCATATTACATTCGTGTTTTTAGAACATATCATATTTCAAGACACCATTACATGGTGCTAGAAGTTTGATGTTTGTAACTTAGTAATATTATTGGTGGTAAGGGATTAGAAAGTGTGATTGTTTGATGGTTCTGATCACATGACATTTATACCAAGCCCTGTGAGACTTCATGAATCATTCGAAGAGTTATTAAAGGTTCACACACAATACAGACACATGATGGTGCCCTAGGTTTCTGTTGCTCTGGAAAATAACTAGGCTAATAAATTTAAAATATCAACTTACCCTTAAAACCTGACCTCTCACTGGTTGAACTGACTTGTCACCCACCAGGTTGTGAGCTTGCACACCAGTGCAGTTTATCACAACATCATAGTTTTGCCCACAGAACTGTTGCAGACTCTCCACCTTCTGATGCAACACTTTTCCTCCATTCACCTTGAACTTCTGCATCAGGTATGGCAAGAAATATGTTGGCTCAAGTGTGAATGAGATGCAGTGTGTACCACCTCTGTACAAACAGAAGAAAAAGCAGCCTCACACCCATCTGTAGTTATGGCTGTCAGTGTTCTTCACTTGTATTTTTAAGGTAAACAGGGCTTAAAAAGTCTGAATTAATGTGGATCTTCTTTCTTAGTGATAACTCCTTGCATTGCTGATATTTCAGAAATCATTACTGCTTCCGTGTTCAAGGTAAAGTGACTACCCAGTGGCCCCTGTCCATACTCATAGAAAAGGTAAATAGTGTAAGGATTTCTGTAACATCACCAATACTGTCTATACATACATGGTGCTATCATCCAGAAATGAGATGCTCACTGACATTGAACTGCTACCTCGTGTAAGTCAGAATTAGTGTTACAGTGTCCTTCATTGTCAGTAAGTGAATTATTTATACTCTAAAGCCTCTTTAACTTTCTTTAGTATTTCAGAAATAGTTTCTATAAGTTTATGATTGTAGCATTGAAGCATTTATTCTGACACCATAATGAATGCTTTTCTTAGAAACATAAAAAGGTGGCATAATTATTTATCTTTATAAAATCTATGTGCTGGAATTCAGTAACTTGTGAACTGTATTTGATCTTCTATCACACACAGTAATTATATATTTTACCCATTTTCTGAGTTTCGTAGCATCACCTATACAAAGGCTAAGTGTGTTGTCTTACTACTTGCCTATGTTGCATGGTTCAGTGTGTTAAGAGGCTGAGAAAGGGGGCTACTTTCTTTTAACAGAATAGTATAAAAATGCCTTAATTTGGAAGGCTTAATCTGTTGTTGCACCTAATGCAGCAAAATGTAATACTATTAAGCATCTTTTACAATACTTATCACATAACATGGCGTATAAAGACCTGATAGCATCAGATTATAGAAAGTGTAAAGGACATAACAAAGAGTTAAGAGGTTCACCTTTTTGAGACTTTTTAACTAATATATTTCATGACCAGGGATACACAGTGGGCAAACACAAGTGCCTGGTCAGAGGTTAAATCTCAGTGAATGAATATCCTATCAGGAATTTGACAGGCTAGCAGGTGAAGTGGAATGGTTTGGTCATTTTTGGAGGCTGGGGCCTCAGCTAGCCCTTGATAGGCATACAGATGGGACCAGGTGGGGGCTCTGCTGACCCTGTTGCAAGACAGAGAGCCCAGAGGATCCCTGCCACTGGTGCTCTGGGGGTGGACTGTCTCCCTGCTTTGAAAAGTGCAGGTGTTGGGTCTTCTGCTGTCATTATTTTGTGATGTCATCTTGAATTAACTCATTGCCATGCCTGACTCAGTGGAATGTAATAAAACTAAATATCTCTTTATTGCACATAATTTAGACTTGTTAAAATGTGGTGCATATGGAATATTTAACATTGCTTGTCCATTAGTGTTAGGATAAAGTGAATTTAAATGGCATTAAAATGACTAAATTATTTTCATCACCCAGAAATGTTGCATACTCTACACTTTAAGGTAAAACTATGGAACATGAAGAAATTAAATATGAATAAGAGTGAGTGCAGTTCAGTAACAGACTGCTAGTGGTTATGAAGTGGAACTGTGTCAATATTCTGACCACTCTGCTGTGATACATCTCATTTCAAACCACTTCGGTCACTGTATTGCAGTTTTGTTTCCTGCATCATACAGTAACATATCTCATCTACTTGTATACTCACGTGAACTTGGAATCACTGAGTGATGCCAGTTTCTGAGCTTGGTGACTGTTTATGATGTGGTGTGCTAGTGGAACTTTTGTCCATTCTGGCTGTTCCATATCTTCTCCTCCTGACTTCTCTGTTAACTTATAGACGGGAATTAGTGATATTCCTACATCTCCTGCTTCATTGCTTTTCCACAACTTTAGAATGTGATCATATGTCTTGCTGGACCAGCGTCTGTAAAGTTAAGCCACTACTTTAAAGTAAAAGAAGGTGCTCCGGTTTGTTTGATTGTTTAAGAAATTCACAAGGAACCTGTTCAGGTAGCCATAATTTATTTTAAATATACAGCCAGCTATTAGCGATGTATCTGAACTGTTGTAGCTAAATGCACTTTGATAAAATTCATATTAATGTTTCTTACTTAAATCAAAGTGTAAAGCACAGTAGATCACTGTGGTCGTGGTGCAAGGGCCAAGAAGGCCCACCCCTTATACATAAATCAAAGTGTAAAATTATTTTTATGAATAAAACATAACTGAGAGCTTATTTTTTATATTTTAAACCAAATTATGCATATATGTCATTAATCTGTAATGTATAAAATTTCTTATGCTCTTTTTGCAGATAATTTTTGTTGGCTGCTTTCATATCATATGCATATGATGAGCCAGTTACAGTATGTCTGCCTTTGTTTAAAGTCAGTCAGTTTTTTTTTCCTACCGCACAGCACTTAAGGCAGGTATGAGAATCTGGAAGCGAAAGTATCAATGGTAGGGCAAACAGGGACCTCAAAATAATTTTAAACCAAAACTTACAGATTTTAAAAAACATTTTTCTTCATACAGTGTCGTATTCTTGAGGTAACAACAGGAAAAGAGCTGCCTTGGCTTTTAACAGTGGTAGCATAAAACAGTGTTGTTTTGATACTCAATTTATAGCCATGAAATATCTTATTTACAGGCATCCTTTGTGCCTTCTTCTCTTCAGATTCATTGATAATCTTGTTTTAAAAATCTGACATGTTATTAATGTTTAATGGATTTGATTTATGTTGATTATTATAAACAAGTATCAGTGAAGAATCCCAATGTTCTGTAACTCTGATACTGTGATAATTACATCTTATTCTTTCATAATCTTAATTATGCTGCTGTTTGACATGTAGATGAGCAATTTGCAAATCACATTACTTATGTCTATAAAAAGTAACATCATAAGTGAACACAGCAAGATGTTCTGGATGAAATAGCTAAAAAGAAATCATATACCTATCTGCAAAGGACACTGGAAAATTGTCTTATTAAGTCTTATAACAATCTTTTTTCAGACCCTTAATTCTGAAATGATTTTGGTTATGCAGGAATGAGCATCTTTCCATGATACCTAGCAGACATAACTCCCAAATGTGTGACATATTTACACTAACTTCAATTTAAGAAGTTTCATTTCTTTCTGCTAGTATATCCTGCATATCTTGTTGATCATGAGACATTTTCCCTTTGTCCATGCCAGCACCTTCCTTTCAAGTAACAAAGCTAACTGTAAAGTCAGTTTCCATGCCACACTGCAGAATGCTCTATGTTACTTGCTAATCTGATGACACCATAGAGTGATCCAGACATCTTGTTCATGTTTAATATTAAAGATAACTGTATAAATCCTACTTAAGCAGACAGATTTAATTATTTAATGTTAATCCAAATTCATGTATGGTATTCAAATGTAGCTGACTTAAGGATCCAACATATACTTGTATCTCAATACATTTCACCCAAATTTGAACATAATTCTGTTACATTCAAGACTGCACTCCAGTCACAATGAAATGAGGAATTCTGAGATTGATAGTTATCACTATTTTAGCTGGTGCATGGAAAGGTAACTGCATTATCAATACTGTAGTAAAGATGTAATTCAAACTTATATTTTACTGTGCACAACCATATTCAGTGTCAAATTTGAAGTTTAAAATAGGAATTATTTTGAAATATATTACAGTAAAGATAAACTTCTGATAGGATCTGACTGGTGTTAGTTCTTACAGAATTTTATTTTGTGGTGTATCTTTGAGACAGTATGGCATCCAAAGTCCAGCAGAGCCATCTCCTGTGGTATGAGGGCTGAAGTGCTCAGAGATGATAGTGACCTGAAGGCCTGGAATTTTCTCTTGGGCTAACACAGCTGTGCTCAGTCCAATAATTCCAGCTCCAATCACTGCCACGTGGGGAGCCATGGTAAAGGTATAAATTGGAATAGCTGAAAAGACAGATTAAATGTCTGTTAGATGCTGTTTGGTGGATCAGACCTGTTGTTTTGCCTTCTATATGTTAAATTTCTGACTAATAAGATGGCATATATTCTATTCCACTTCACCAGACTCTCGTAATTTTCTATATATGAATTCCTCTATAAAGTCTGAATCAAAGCCTGTGATCAGGATATCAAGATGGAGACCTGGGAGAGGGAATTTACAAGTGAGTTAAGTCAAGGATAAGTTGATCATATTCCAAATAATTTAAATTCACCATATTCTGATAGAATCACAAGTATAAATGACCTTCATATACCAGGGGAGATCCTAGTCTGTTAGGCTCATTAGACTCTTACAGATTTTTGTCGAAATAGATTTATTTATCTTAAAAGGAGGTCTCGCATGTAACAAGATTGGTCCATGATCCATGATGATAATATGGTTAAGGCTATTCAGCTTGTACATCTCTCTGAGATTTATGTTTCTTATTAAGGTAACAAGGAATAGAGGGAGAGGTTCCACATGGGGTTGTCTGCTGGGTGCTGTTCGAGTGGCTGTCATTTGCTTCATGTTGATGGTATTGAAGCCTAAGTCTCTAGGCTGCTGGAAATATCTTCTGCTGGCATGTCTGGGGGAAAGTGATGGATTAATACCTTTGTGAGTTTCTCAGAATTTTGGGAGAAATTAAAATAGTGGAGATTATTTTTCTCCAGGTAGGATTTCATGGCTAAATAGTCTACTGTTTCTTTTATTATGATATGGGTGCCATTTCATGTAATTCAGAACTCATACTCTCCTTTAATGTGGTCTTATAAATCACTTTGGAGTCGAATGAGTTATGTGGTATAAGTCATCATTATTGGTGGTAGCCTATCTGGTCTTCTGGGAGCCTCCTGCTCTGGTAGTGTGTTCTCTGTACCAGTAGTCTACATGCCCATGCAGTAGTTCTGAAAGATGCGAAGAAATTTACGAGTTAACACAGCTTTTGGTGACAGCTTGACACCCGTGGATGTTGGGACTGGTTTAGTTGACTTCTTGGCTATCTGTGAGGTAATGTTAGAGATATGCCTCTTGCATCCCTTTACTTCCTGGGCCGTTGATTGCACTGAGGTTTTGTTCACTGCTCCACTCTGTCCTGCTTGTGCACTCACCTTCAGGATGGCCTTCAGTTTATTTAGTATTATTGCATACATGCTCTATAAAGTGCTAAAAGGCAGCTTCCCAGCTAGAATTTTGTAAAAGGTTGCTCTGTTCTCCTCCAGGCTATTCACAATAGAGGTCCATTCAAAGCATTCTGCCATTTCAGCTGGTTTGCATCTGGCAAGGGCCTCAGTGTCCTTGAGTACTTTATATACTTGTTGCACTACAGAAGCTGCCTCTGGGTATTTGTTCATGATGACATGACATTCATATTTCAGTGATGCTAGTTTCTGTGTCCAGCACTTCTGGAAGCCTTGTACTGGGATGTCTGCCATGTTGGTGTACACTCAAGTTCACTGCACTGTTCGTTTTTCTCACTAACTGCAACAGCTCCAGTCCTCCTATCCTCCTCTCAGCCACTATAGTACACACTGTTTCAGTCTGTTTTAATCCTCATTATTTGTTCCTCGTTAACCATCCACAACTAACTCCCCCTCTCTCATTATCTTCTTCTCTTGTTCCCCATTATACAGCCTTGGCATGGAGCACATAGAAAAACAATTTCTAAGTTCCTCTATTGTTGTGTGTTGATTGTTTGCTGTGGAAACATATTTACAATGTCCTTGCCTGGCAATGACCGTCTTTATTCATTCGACTATTCCAGATTTCAGCCAGCATGTTTAATTATGTTCCTTGGAAATGTTTGTACCTTGCTACCAAGAGCTGTAACTCTGAAAGCCACAATTTGGATTCATGATGCAGTGCTTAGCACTTCAACTTATTCTGGCAGTCTCAATCTTACGCCTCAGCCCAGAAATTAGCTTTCTTGACTGTTTTGGAGGTTTTGAACAGTTATATCACACGAGTGGTACCGAGAAAGTTGGCCCAAAGGGTAAGACATTAGACTTGTATTTGGATTGTGTCCAGTTCTGACAGGATTGACAGTGGTTAGAAAATAAGGTACAAAATCCATACAAATGGAGAAAGAGTACCTTCAAATTAAGACCAGGCCACTTCTTCTTTCACAGTTCATAATAATCTTGTTACTTCCCATTTTATGCTATAGAATCTATAACCAAACACAAATATCTGTTCTACTTTGAAATTGAAAATAATGGGTACTGGGCTTAGGTAAAACAACAACTTACCTAACAAGTGGCAGTGAGTTTATTATGAGTAATACTATAAAATAATACAGAATTTTGGGTGGGGCTGACTCAGAGACTTAATTCTGATATGTGGGAAGAAATTATTGACATTATCATAATAGTGGGAAGACCTAATACTCATTAATTTACACAGGTGTTAGAAGATATCAGTAATAAAGGAAATAGCTGAAGAGTTGATATTTTGAGAAGACAGTGATTGAGGTTAGATCTTTCTAAAAGAACTAACAAAGCAACTGCTTCCCGTCATTTCACTTGAGGATGGAAACATTTCCAATTTCTGAAATATTTTGTTCATTAGAATACCGAATGATGGACAAAGTCCAAGAACTCAGTAATCCTTGGTGTTATACACCATCAATAGAATCCTTTATAACTAAATAATACTTACAACTTATCCACACCAGCTGTGACTTGTTATGTGTAAGAGGAGCTGATATACAAAAATCACTGGTAACAAGTAACCAACACTTAACTGCTATGTTTTAAATTGAGATGTAGGACAGCTACTGAAGTACTATTTTAATTGGCTTTAACTCTTTGCCTCATGTGATACTCTGTGAAGTTATGTGAACACAGATTATGTAATGTTTCTTTTTCAATTTGGAAAGTTTTGAAGTCAAGGTCAAGTCTGATAACAGTATTAACTAGAATTTTTAACCATCTGCAGCGATGTAAACATGCTGCTCGTATCTGATATGTATTGAGTAATCCTTCTACAATGATGGATGAATCGCTTTACTTTTTTTACTTTACTCTTTGACTTATTCAAATGCAAACATTTCATACTCTGTATTAGGGCTCAGAAGTATAGTGCTGTACAGTTGAACATGAAGATTATTATTTAAGAATAGAAATAACATAAATTTATTCATCAAATAAAAATGAAAATGAAATGAATTATTGTCATCATTGAATAGGCTACAGGTCTATTCCAATTATAAAGTTTTGAACTGTTCCTTGGCCTAATAATTAATCTTCCGTGCCACATCCTGAATATACAAAACAGTTGTACAACTCAACTGTGAGGAGCTCCATCCTTCTCAGTGATTTAGATTGTATTCAGTCGGTTCGAAAGGTATTATGGAAGAACAGACGTGAGTACTATAAACTTATTTTTTCTCCTAAATAAGGAAAATGGATAAAGCCATTGAAGTGTAGAAGTTTCTTCATAACAATGGCAAATGAATCATGTTGGGCACCAGCAATGTAGCAAACGCAAAAGTGTTCTGAAGGAAAACCAACATATCACCATTAAGATGGTGTAAAATGTCAGGATTAGTTCTGCATGTAACATTTTTGAGAACTGTTTTTTTGACAAAGTTATTGGTGTGACTATAACTGAAATGTCAATGAGCTGATTTGTAATATAATATGTTTTTTCAAATGATATGAGTGGGAAAGAGAAACAGAACAGATACAAGAACAGCTTAAATTCTTCTCCTAAGGAGTACACTTATTGGTTCAGCACAGAAGGAATTACAGGAGTTACATGCAGATGGAAACATATGTTTTGCTTATTGTGTGATTAAGTAGGTTTTTAATGTAACTATTGCAATTTTAGTTTGAATTCCTTTCACATATTTAGTTGTTAAAAATTTAAAATGGAAATAAAGGAGATTTTATATTTCTAAATCCAATGGTTATAATGGTATTTGACGTTTTCATGGAAGTGGTTATGCAGAGTTTTATCCTCAGATATATTGCTGTGTAATCCACTGAAAGTCACCTGACACTTTGAAAGAACATAAGCCAAGCAAGAAATGGGCATGGTAGCCAGCAGAGCAATCCTCTTGCCAAAAGCTCAGGTTTATGTAGCACACAAAAGGAAACCGCAAGGCAACTTACCAGCACCCACAGGCTCACTCACAGAAAAGAGTGAACCACTAAGAGTGCAAGACAAACCCACTAGTTTCCATTGGTTATCTCACAAGACAGAGTGAACCGATAGGAGACAAAACAAGGATAATTATGTCCATGATTTATTCTGACCGTCTTACAGTGCATACATTTATTCACCTTACTCTTCTCTCTTACACTACATGTTTCAGCACTAAAGTGCACTGTAAGACGGTCAGAATAAATCATGGACATAAATCAGTGCAACAGGATGCTAAAATATAACATTAAGGATAATTATCATTGGCCCTGAAGAGGAGGACTACTACTGCAGATCTGGGAATGCAGAGGAGAAAAGGGAGACAAGTAGTAAGCGTGTGGTGGACAGAGAACCAAGATGGATGGACGATGGGTCATGTGTGTGGGGGGTAAAAGTAGTAAAAGTAGAACAGGAAGGAAAGGCTTAGGGCTGATGGGTACCCAGAGAGGGCAGCGTTCATGCTGTGATATGCGCAGTGAGTGTGGATCTTTGTGGCCCCATGCAGAACCCATCTATAGAATCCTGTGAGGGAGGCTTCCTGTGATATTTCAGGGAGCACATGAGAGTTTTATGTGACTTACTTAAGAAGAAGCTGTCCTCCCTGTTCATATCATTGGGTTGGAACTCAACTTCAATCACCTTCCTGACGATGTGATTCATGTATCTGTGTTTGGTGGAGAGGGTGCTGTGTTGTGTAGTCAGATGCAGTGCCCAAAAGCTGATACTGTGCTCCTCCACAACTGCCTTGTCTGGATGTTCCAGCCAGATATGCCAATGATGCTACATCAACTTGGTGTCATATTCATATTCTTATTCAAACAACCTGTCTGTCCTGTGTGAAGCTGAGTGCATTCACAGGGGATATTGTATACTTCTGGTGTCTCCAGTCCCAGGTCATCCTTGACTGATTGAAGAAAACTAGCAATTGTCCTTGGTGGGACACCAACAGACTTCATGTTTTGCCACAGTTGCTGCACACACTGTGCCAGCAACTATTCATAGACTTCAAGAAAGCTTACGATTCAGGTAGAAGGGAAGTACTGTATGAGTACCCATGAAACTAGTAATGCGGTTAAAATGTGTTTAAANTGATTCAGGTAGAAGGGAAGTACTGTATGAGTACAATATTCATACAGAGTATGAGTACCCATGAAACTAGTAATGCGGTTAAAATGTGTTTAAATGAAATGTATTGTAAAGTCCATATAGGTAAGTAAACATTGTCTGATAATTTTCTTATCCAAAATGGTCTAAAACAAGGAGATGCTTTAGTGCCACTGCTTTCAACTTTGCTTTAGAATATGCCTTTAGGAAGGTCCAGGAAAACCAGGTGGTAGTGAAATTAAATGGGACACATCAGCTGTTGGTCTGTGCTGATCATATGAATCTACTGGGTGATAATATAAATACCATAAAGAAAACATACAACCTTTAATTGACACTAATAAGGAGGTTGATCTAGAAATAAACACAGACAAAACTAAGTATATGTTACTGTCTCATCATCAAAATGCAGGGCTAAATCATGACATAACGATAGAAAACAGATGTTTTGAAATTGTGACACAGTTCAGATATTTGGGAACGACGATAACAAATCAAAACCTGATTGATGAGGAAATTTAAAGGAGATTGTTCAGTCCAGAAACTTTTGTCTTCTCGTCTGCTGTCCAAAAATATAAAAAATAGAATAGACAAAACTATAATTTTGCCTGTGGTTCTGTATGGTTGTGAAACTTGGTCTCTGATATTAAGAGAGGGACATAGAGTGAGGGTGTTGAGAATATGTGAACTGTAGAGAGATGAAGTGACAGGAGGTTGGAGAAAACTGCATAATGAGGAGCTTCATAACTTGTACTCTTCACCAAGCATAATTACAATGATCAAATCAAGGAGTTTGAGATAGGCAAGGCATGTAGCATGAATGTGGTGAAGATGAAGGCATATAAAATATTTGTGAGGAAGCCAGAAGGAAAGAGACCACTAGTAAGACCAAGACGTACGTGGGTTGATAATATTAAAATTAATCCTAGAGAGATAGGATGGGGTGGTATGGACTGGACTGATCCGGCTCAAGATAGGGACCATTGGCGGGTTCTTCTGAACACGGTAATCAACCTTCGGATTTCATAAAATATTGGAAAGTTCATGAATAGCTGCACAACTGATGGCTTTTCCAGAAGGGCTCAGCTCCAGGAATTTAATTTAGTTAGTTCGTCTGCCGATGCCCGACTATATTCTCCAAACAAGGTACCCCACCACGGAGTACGAGGAATACATTACCCACATTGTCACTTGGGTCACTTGCGGTCACTTGCGACATCTACTGTGAATAATAGGAATTACTTGAAAATTGAGATTCCCAGATGTTGGTACTCATGCAGTCAAGTTCGGTCAAGTTTGTCGGCGTTTTGACCATTTTGATTTTACTGTGGTCGTCTTGTCTAATGGGTCTAATGCTAGTAACGACAGGTGACGACTGTCATTCGTTATCAACACTTGTCATGCGACGCGACTAGATATAACAATCATAGCAATTAGTAGCATTAGTAGGCTGTTGTAAGGGTCGTGAGCGTCATGAGTGTTGTGAGAGGACGAAAGTGCGGTTATGGTAGTCTTGGTACAAAGTTTTCTTTTACGAAAGCAAGGCGTGATGGTGTGATGCACAGATTGGTAATGTGCAACTTTTCGTAGTTCGAAAGGAATATTTTCATAATGGCAGCGTTATTAAAGAAAAGGGCCCTTGCTGAATATAGTCAAGTCATACAGGTATAATTTTATTGTTAAAAAATTCAGTTTGTATGTCTTATGATGATGTTGATCGTGCCTTTGGTGATAACACCCTATGGATGTGGGCTCTGGTGCTAATGTTTTGCAGGAATGTGCTGCTTCAGTCTTCATGGTAGAAGAGCTAGCCAGCTGGCTGCGTTGTTGCCGGCAGCCTCAACTGACTAGTGCTGATCTTGATATTGAGCCCGAATTGGACTCCTGACAATGTTGTGACATATAGCAAAAGCAGAATGTTTTCACACTTGGGGGTTTCTTCTTGCTGAGCAGATAGATGTAAAGTGTGCTGCACATACTGCAAAGGCCAACCTTTATTTTCTTATGACAAGCCTGAAGGTTGTCCTCATAATTGTGACAAAACACTAATGTTCTCTCTCTTTGTTGTTTTTGGACCTGTCATGATCTGCTACACTGTGATCATGAAAGTAACCACCTCATCACCAGGACTGCTAAGTTCGATGGGGAAATCTGGTCCTTGAAATATGGAAGGGCCACCAAGCACTGGGGTTGTGAGTAAGCTAATGGGAACAAGTAACCTTGAGAAAGGGGGAAAGGAGAAGAATCATAAGGAAATGCAGAAGCAACAGAGTCTGAAGGGAAGGGATTTAGTCCCTACTTTATGTACAAACAAAGTAAAGTCACTGTGCTTAACTAAACACCATGCCATGAGCCATATGGGCTATTTTAGGTATGGCTCCACAGCTTTTATCGCTCTTCTTACACTATTATTTGCTTGCTTACCAATATTTTTTATGTATTTTTTGTTTTGATCTCTGTACTCACCCATTTGCCTCCTGCACTTCATTGTTTCTTCCTTCCCTTCTGACTGTTGTTCCCACATTGCCTTATACTTATTCCTTATAGTTATTATTTAATTTTATTTCTACTGTATTTAATTTGAACCTCTTATATGCACATTTCTTTCTCAAAATTTTTTTTCTTTCATTCACATTGAGAGAATAGCCTCCGTCCCTCCTTTTGAAGTACTACCTGTACCTATTGGCTTACTCATAATCACAGACAGTCTGAAATTCCATGTAGCTAGGATCAGTTTCCCCCCATGGGCATAGTCTTCTTTCCTGAAGAGGTTAATCTGAAATGTTTGCAACATAGCCTGCATTTACATGGCACCATCACATCATCAGTGTAATAACATGAAAGCCTAAAACATCAGTGTCCTATGGTGATTTAAACCTCACTAGTGATATAATCCTTGTGTTTGTGTGAAATTGAAATACACAATTTTGTAGAGTTATATATGTACCTGAAATTTTATTTATTAGGAACAGCCAAAACCTTTGAAGAAACTACGCCTCGTGAAGAAATTAATTTCTGGTAGTTCTGCTGCAGCATATGTAGGTCTACTAGAAAAGAGTAAGACAAGCAATGATGCATTACAAGTTCTTCTTAGGATATCAGATTCATTGAAGTTCCAGGTGTGTATGAGTGTAAGGCAAACAGTTCCTCATACAATATTAGATTTACAGACAATCCACGTGCATATAGTATGATGGAAGTTCTCTTATTGTGAAAATATGAAGTGAACTATCACTCTGCTATACTATTCTATGAAAGCTGCTTAGTGGCCACTCAGAAAAAAAATTGAAACAACTTAAGGTTGCCCTTTTTTTATACGTTTTTGGGGTGGGTTGAGACAGTCCACTTGGTACTTCAGCCACTTTTGGCCTGTTTTGCCAGCCTCGGATGATAGATGATTATGAGCGTGGAGCAGTCAGCAGAATAAGAATTGACAAGGGAAACTGAAATACTTGTAGAAAACCTGTCTCAGTGCCACTTTGTCCACCACAAATCCCACATGACCTGACCCAACTCCCCAGACCCTTCCCCTCTCCTCTCTACGGATTTTCCACGTAACCCCTCTCCCTTTTCTTCCTGCTCCTATACAGCTGCGTTTCCAACTTGACATTAGTCTGTTAGCACCTGCTCAACCTGGTTCCTCGCTCACAGATTTCCTTCTACCCTGAAGATGGAGGTGATACGTTCCTTTGAAATGTCGGTTAACACAATATCTACACGGCGCCACATCCCAAGAGACTGCTTTCTTCTTAATTTTACTTGTTAATGGACTTTGTCCCAATGTAATATTCTTGCAGAGAGACAAATGAGGATGGCAGGAGAGAAGTTGTGTATACAGGTGTTGGCAAGTAGTACCACACACACAAGTTCTCCCTTGCTCTCATGTCTGCAAATTGTGAAAGTGACCCTTTTCAATGGCTGGGGTAGTTACTCTTCTCTTGTCTCTCTGTCAGTTCACTCTTGTTCTCAAGGAGAACCAGAAATAGATCCCTTCATAGTTACCACTGTGAGAACCTCAAGTCCATCATAGAACACAACATATCCAAAATTTGACTGTTTATGTCCTCAGGTGAAAACTTAGGGAGATAGATACTGAGTTGGGTCTGTTAGAAAGAGCTGTCTCAAGTAATGAGTGTTGTGATCTGTTTAGGTGATTCCATAAATCCTGTAACACTAAGTGTAACATACCATCATCAGAACCCTTTAGAACTGGTTTATTTAACACTGATTGTCTAACTTATTTTTAAGAGTAAATAGTGTTCAGACAATTTTTTTTTGACATTATCCATTGTCTTTTTTATCTAAAACACAATTTTTTTATTTAAAACAATGGTTTTATTCCATGTTTTATGCTTTTTATAGGAAGAAGATTTGGCCGATGTTGTTAAGAAATTAGCTGAGCATTTTCAGCAGGAAAATGAATCTGTTGTTCGTGCCAAGATCTTGTCTTTATTTGGAGACATTGGTAAGGAGCCTGGAGCTGACATACAGGTACTTCATACATATTGTTGAATGACTGGCTCAACAGCTTTGTTATGATTTTTTTAGTTTCACACACTTTGAAGAGAGTGCTGGTATTTAGTTCAATGTCTGTTTTCTGCTCATCACCATTTTAGAATCCTAAAGATTCAGATATATATGAAGTATTTTATAGTTTTGCGGGGTTTGAAACTTGATATCATATTCTAAAGAAAGGATAGGATATGTGTAGCCTCTCCATGTTGAGCAGCCCAAAGCTCCTGTCACAAACAAAAGTTTTGGTTATCATTGTTATCATTAATAACAGTAATAATAATTCCATTAGCACTTAGTTTAATGATAATGGAATTATTATTACTGTTATAATTATCACTTATTTGTTTGTTTACTTTTACTTTTATTCATTATTATTTCTTCCAATTACTTAACTGTAATTTGTATTTGACTTTTAATAAGTTTGTATGTAATGTAATTCAGTCATCTACACTGTGCTGAGTCTGTAATTGGCCTTGCGGCTGTTGACTCGGCACATTAATAATAAAGAATTGAATTGAATTGAATTAATGTGAATATAATGGCCGGATAAGTGGAGAGAGATATATGGAAGTATGCTGGAGAGGGAACATAACACCTTGAGAGAAGTTAATGGTTTGTGAATCCATGGGACTTTTTTTCTGTGCCCTTAATGTAGTAGAGGCACCAACACAGGTGGAAAGTAATCACAAATGAATAGTAGGTAGGGATCTCAAAGGAGGCAGTAGTATGTGATATAGAAAAGGGAGATTCAGTTGGCCATATGATGATTGTAGTTTATTTTCCCAGTAACAACTTGCTTTTATTTTGTGTATGATTTAGCAACAATGTGGAAAGAACATTTGTAGTATAATGAAAGGTAAATGTAATGATTTGTCCCTGTGCATAAGCACCATGCCGTGAAGCTGTGTGAGTATGTTGAGGTAAAGCTGTAAGCATTCTTAACCTCAACACTAGTTTGAGGTGAGTGGGCAGCTTCGTGCTCAGGCTGCTTTGCATGCGGAGAAAGATCTTGAAATACCTATCAGATAGGAAGCTTGGTGGTCCCTGGGGCTGATCTTGACACAGTGGTGGAAAGAAAGAATCAAACCTATAGTGGGGATTAAATCATGGTTGTTCAGACCATAACAAAGTCACCTTACTGACTGATGTGTCCCAGCATACACTGAAAATAAAAGTATATGTTATGTATGAAATACTGATGAAATGAAGGTTTGAATTTGTTCTTGTTTTCTTATATTTGAAACAGCCAAAAGGTTTGATTTTCAGTGGTAGATAAGAACACTTGGCCACCTCTGTGGTTTAGTGGTCAGAGGTCCTGGGTTCGATTCCCAGTGCTGCCAGAATTTCTGAGAAGTACTGGGTCTGGAATGGGGTCCACTCAGGCACGTGAGGATAATTGAGGAGCTATTTGAAGGAAATAGCGGCTCCGGTCTAAAACCGAAATTAACGGCCATGGGGATCCATTGTGCTGACCACGTGACGCCCTCTATCCGAAAAAGTTGCCACTAACTTCACCGACAAGTGGCGTTCACTCGGTCGGTATAATTCGCTTGCGGACTACAGGCCACAGAGTTTGTTTGTTTGTTAGGAACACTTTCCTTTACACTCCAGTTTGTATGATGTTTCAGAGTTGAGTGATTCATGTATACATTTCTGTTTTGCAGTACAGACAAAATTTTAAACAACATGCATTATATATATATATATATATATATATATATATATTAATGTGAATATAGGAATGTATTTTGGGGGCACATGGTAGCTCTGTTGAGGCACTATGCTACAAACTGGAAGGTCGCAGGTTCGATTCCCTGTGAGGTCATTGAATTTTTCAGTTGACTTAATCCTTCCAGCCATGCTATGTGCCTGGGATCAGCTCACCCTCTAACAGAAATGAATACCAGGAATCTTCCAGGGAACTAAAGGATCGCCAGAGCACGTGGCTGACAACTCCACCATCTGTGAGCCAATTGTCCAGAAAATGTGGGAGCCTCTACGTTTCACAACCCTGTGGGCCTGCATGCCTGTTACAGGGATAGGTTTACCTTTACCTATAAGAGTATGTTTTATTTATTAATTTATTTTCTGTTCAGAGTATAATTGAAGAAATAATACAGTTACTGAAGAAGGAAGAATCTCACAAAGTGATTGCTCAGGGTATATCAGCATTACTAAGACTTGGGAAGTTATTACCAGATAATGTATCAGTTCATCAGAAGCTGGTTCTTGTGGCAAAGCAGGTGAGTGTAGTTTCACGTTGCTGCAGGAAATATTTTTATCCTACTTTCCTCTCTTAAGAAAATAAGGTAAGCTTGGGAGCCCACATGCTCTGTGTGTGTGTGTATGTGTTCACCCCTTAAATTTTGAACACCTTCACTATTTTTCACAAAATTTGGTATGAACATTAGGCCTTTAGAAGTGATACCCAACCTCATACTCTTTAATTTTCTACAGTTAGTAATAACAGTATGACCTAGTGAGACTGGAGTGATACTATTAATACTTAATTTGGGATAATGAAATGTTGTATTGTAATAGATTCTTTTTATGCAATTTTTATTAAGGAATTTTTTAATATAAGACATGTCACCTGTGCAGCAAGTTTCATTTTGCTTTCAGTTTGACAAAGTTAATGTAGACAGAATCTGTATTTACATAAGTTCTTCCTCCCCTTCCCCCGAAATGATGATGATGATGACAGTAATGATAATGTGATGTGGATGGCGCAACAGGAAGTAGGGGTCACGTGAACTCTGCAGTCTTGCGAGTGACGTCACACCCTCACTCCTTCCATCATTATGCAATGCTCGGTAAACATCCCCTCCCCCGCGATGACATAACAGCACTTCCAACTGTGACATAACAAGGGGATACCACTGTTGACACAGGCAACAGGGAACAGTATAGAAAGCCAGCTGAGAGTATGTGACGAGAGTGTGTGATCAGAAGTGACACAGTGTGGATCGTGAAGTCACCGAGTGCAGTTTCAATCTAGCAGTTGCCGAGTCGGGTTGTATCGAGTGTATGGCAGTGACTACAGCAGAAGATGCAGTTGTGATACTGCAGATGGCAATACTTGTGTAAGTGTGAATTGTGTAAATGTATGAGTGAGTGGAATAAATTCGCTATATCCAAGACGGCGTGAAGTTATTTGTCGCGTGAGATACAGCCAACAAGTGACAATAATGACAGTCTGCAACATATTTGCATTAAATATCCAACAAATTAGTCTTACTAAGTACAGATGTAAAAAAAGAAATAAACTGAGCCTGGGTTTCCACATACATGCTGGACTGATATAAATTATCTGTTTAAGAATGCCGGCATGTGAACAGAAAGTTCAGTTTTGCCTTATCCATTTCATTGTGATTCCCAAAATGTTCTTATGGTATGTGATGTACAGCAGGTTCATCCATAAAGCTGGTAGTCATCTACCGAGCTACACAGCATCACATACTACAAGACGGCCATAATCTTGAGTCTCATCGCTGTAAGGACCTTAAATCTCTGTACTGTGATTCTGTTTTACATTAAAATCATTGTTTTTGTTTCAGTACCTGACAGACACAAGTCACTATGTGAAGTGCAAATGTTTAGAATTGATTGGTGAGCTACTGCCAGTGGGTGGGAATTCTGAAAGCAGTGCTCAAACTGTGATGAGACATGTTGGTGATTACACTCGCAGTGAAGAGGCACGAGTGAGAAGTGCTGCCTTCAGAACAATGGTAAACTGATACTTTATTCCTCTTCCAAATGAGGGATTGTTTTCTTTTCTGTAACATAAGTTTATATACTTTTTATGAGACACTGGGATCACTTTTAGGGAAATATTATGGAAAGTATGTTTTTTGATGCTATCTGATTTGGCATCTGTTGTATTTTGTATATGAAAATATGTGATGGATAGTGACACTGTGTTTTTTCACTTCTTTATAAGACCTATAGAAAACTGTGTACTGTTTTCTTTTGCACTTTTTGGGGTTGAAGTCTTAGATGTATTTGTGTAATGTTCTTATTTGTTTATGTTCACACAATATTATATTTACGTTTAGGATATGTATGAAAATATTAGAAGGAAACTTCTGATTTCCTATTAAGTCTTAATTCCTACTTGATATTGTAACATCCCTGTCATCTGACTCAGGATAGGAACCAGTGGAGGACTCTTGTGAACACAGTAATGAACCTTTGGGTTCCATAAAATGTTGGGAATTTCTTGAATAGCTGCACAGGTGGTGGCTTTTCAAGAAAGGCTCAGCTCCATGAGTGAGTGAACGTCTCTGTCAAGGGGGTAGCACTTCTGTACTTTCAAGATTCTAATTTCAAATCTCAACCTGGAGGCCATTCTCACTTGGGTTTTTGCAGTTTCCCTTAGACATGCCAGGCAAATAACAGGGCAGTACCTTAGATTAGACCACAGCTGCTTCCTTCCACATCTGTTCCTATTCATTATTCAAGAATTGTTCTGTAATTTTGCACTATGTAGTCTGAGCTGCTGACATTTTCAGTAAGTAAACCATGAATAAATAAAAATAGATTAGAAGGTGAAAATGTGCAGTTACAGAAACTTTATATCGATAGAATGGAGCCAGGATAGCTGAGTCGGTATAGTGACTGGCTATGGGCTGGACAGTTGAGGGGTCAGAGTTCAAGTCCCAGTAGGGTCAAGAATTTTCACTCTTGAATCGTCCAGACCAGCTTTGGGGTCCATCCAACCTCCTATACAATGGATACCAGGGACTCTTTCCTGAGGGTAAAGTGGTCGGGGCGTGAAGCTGACCACTAACCTCCAACTAGTGCCGAGGTAAAGAAAATGTGGATCTATACATCCACTCCCCCATATGCCTTCTTGGCATGGTGCTTAATTAGTTAAGCACAGAGACAACTTTACCTTTTATTGATAGAACAGTATGAGTAGGATGAAATGTCATAAGTGGAGGAAGAATGGAAATAAATGGATCAGTGATGCAGTAATACAGATCATAGATCATTATTTGATAACAACAATTTTCTGCTTCAGTGAAGCTTATTTCATAGAAAGATAATGCATGACAGCAGCTCTTGTAGGTGTATTCAGCTTAGTTTTCTGCTAATGTGATGGGCACAGCTGCACATTCTCAAGTTTTATTATAAATCAGCACAAAATATTTCCTTTCTTAATCCCTTTTAAGAGGCGATAAAATACTGCTAATTATGGAGAGCTAAAAAATATAAGCCTTTTATTTTTGCAAATAAAAGTGCTTCCTTAATGCAAGTATTTTCCAAGACTCCTTAAATGCTTTTAATGTCAGAGATGGAAATAACAAATGGGATGGAAAATTATAGAAATTATTGTACCAAGGCACTAGGTCAGTCATCCTTCAGGTCACACAATAACAGAGTTTTTTATTTGGGTTTCTTTAGTAGTCTTGCACTGATGTTTCAGCTCCCTGAGAACATTTACCTCAGCATTTTCATGTGGCTTCTATTTTAGCTTACTGTACACGAACGGGGTTCAAAGCTTGACTCATCTGTGTACTCAGAAGTTTGCCTTGCACTGAAAGATGATTATGAAATTGTTCGTCAAGTGGCGCTGAAACTGGTTTGGGTGCTCGGCCAAACATATCCCGAAAAGTAAGTAATATTCTAGAATTGGGTGAAATCTTAATACAGAGAATGTATTGAATTATGGAATATGATTATGCTTAAATTAAATATGATTCTGAGATTGACTGTAGACCAGTTTATGATCTTGAAAATATATGCCTTCTATAGGTGCATAATAATTTTCCTCCGAGATGTGCCGTAGACTGTGCAGTGTGATGGATAGACTATCACACATGCTGCTTATGAGGCAGTTTACTGTCATTATACGTTGCATACAGAATCATAAAATATTCTGTTATATGTTTGTCACACCTACCTTTAACCCTTTCGCGCGGTGATTTAAATTCCGCGGCCGTCTCTCCGGCGGTAATATATTCAGCCGGCCATTTAAATTTTGCTCGAAAATGATTTATTCATCATTGTTCTTAAATTATATGAGATAGGAACATGAAACTTTCACTAAA